CTCCCGAGTAGCTGGGACTACAGGCGCCTGCCACCATGCCTGGTTAATTTTTCTTTTTTTATATATTTTTTTAATAGAGATGGGGTTTCGCCGTGTTAGCCAGGATGGTCTGGATCTCTCAACCTTGTGATCCGCCTGCCTCGGCCTCCCAAAGCGCTGGGATCACAGGCTTGAGCCACCGCGCCTGGCTCTGGACAACTTTTAAAAATGTGTAGTTTCCCTAAACTTAAAAGACCCCTTGATGAATTTCCTTTTCCCTCAATGACTCCAGACCCTCACCACGACAAGCATCACCCCCTGTTCTTCTGGGGTCTTCTGTTTCCCCCTCCCTGTGGGTGTGAGTGAGCCTGTTGGTGGTGCTCCCTGCAGGCTGTCTGGATGGCTGGGGACAGGCATCCAGAGAAGTCTGGGCGCCTGCTGCAGTTCACAGAGGCAGGCTTGAGTGGGCCTGGCCCACGGCCTGGAGAACTCCATACCTGAGTCCTATGTGAAATCTATGTCCTCTATGTCCCCCAGGTGGATCACTCTGACAACCCCCCCTTATGTTCTCCAGATTCTGCCATTACTGGGACAGCTGGGGCTCCGTGTGTTCAACATGCGGGCATCAGACAGCTCTCGGTATCCCATCTGCTGGCTCTACCTCTCACTCTACAGCACACTCCTGGAGTGGCCCCATCTCTGCCCCACTCCCCTCCACCTTCTCCCCAGGTTCCCCTCTATCCCCACGAGGCATCCCCCCAGGGCCTCTGTGCCCTCATATCCTGGCCTTCTGCTGCCCAGCCTACAGGACAGAGTCCTCGAAAAGTAAAGACCCTGAGGAGTCCAGCATGCCAGGTCACTCCTGTCCTCGTGCTTTGGGCTTCTTCCCACTTCTCTTGGAACCCCCGTTCACTCACATGGCACCCCGATCCTTCTGGTCCCTCTATGCCAGGGTTCCCAGCGCCATGACTCCTGCATACATCTTTTTTTTTTTTTTTTTTTTTTCTTGAGTTAGAGTCTTGCTCTGTCTCCCATGCTGGAGTGCAGTGGCATGATCTCACCTCACTGCAACGTCCGCCTCCCAGGTTCAAGTGATTCTCATGCCTCAGCCTCCCGAGTGGCTGGGATTATGCCACAACACCTGGCTAATTTTTGTTTGTTTGTTTGTAGAGATGGGTTTTTGCCATGTTGGCCAGGCTGGTCTCTAACTCTGGACCTCAGGCCATCCACCCGCCTTGGTCTCCCAAAGTGCTGGGATTACAGGCATGAGCCACCATGCCTGGCCCCCGAATACATCTTGACTGTGTCCTGCTATCTCCCTCCTCCCGCCCTGGGCCCACCAGCGCCTGGACAGCACTCTGCCTCACCCACCACCTCCCACCACCCCAGCTCACACCTTCGGGGCCTTGTTGACCCCTCCTATCCCACCCTGTGTAACCCTTACTGCTCTCCTGCTCAGAAACCTCCTCCTCTCTCCATCACTGGTGGTTTTTCTCACCACCTCTCACTGGACCAAGTGTGACCATCTCACTTCCCTGCCACACCCTCTGCACTGAGAGCTGGGCCCAGCACCCAGAATTCCTGACTGAGTGGTAATATCCCCTGGAATGACAAGGACTCTGTTCCCAGATTCTTCTTCCCCTTGCAAACCTGTCCTTCAATTGCTCATCTCAGTCTGCAGTCCATGCACTACCCCGGCCTGTCCCTCAGCCCCTTCCCACCTTCCCTTGGGCCTGAGCTCTGGGTGGCAGTGAGGTGGGCGCTGTGGGGAGGAGCATACAGGAAGTGTGACCAGAGCTCCCTGGGCTCTCACAGTCCCCTGGCTCTGGGTCCCTGGTCTCATCACAGCTGGTGACACCTGGAAGGTGGCCCCAACTCAGGAGTGAGGGGGGCAAGGGGGCTGAGTGCTGGAGTGTGGCCAGGGGACCAGCACACAGCATCTGTGTGGTGCTGCCCAGGACGCTTGGGGAGGGCGGGAGCCTCTGTTTCAGCCTCCAGACTTCCTGTCTGGAGAGGGGATAGCTTCTAAGAGGCCGAGGTGTTTGTCACGCCTGGGGCTGTGCTCTCCAGCACAGCACACCACCCCTCGGCCTGCTGTCCTCCCCTGGGGTGGGGGGAGTTCTTTATAGGGCACAAGTCTCACTCACCACAGTTCACCTCTGGGGTGTGGGGTGTTGATCCTGTCCCCGGATGCCAGCCCAACTGTGGGCCATACCACGTCTCTAATAAACAGAGCCACAAATCGTGCCCTGTCACTAAGCTGCAGGGCAGCGATGGCCTACATGGTCCTGCCCTTGCAACTTACAGGTTTTCCTGCCTACTGGGGCCAGGCACTTTCCATGGAAACAAGGGAGAGCACCAACCCCCAGAGATAAGTCAATAAAAGCGGCCTGAGAAAGAACAGGCAGCAAGAGAGGCGGAGGGAATGGGGCAGGGCTGGAGAGAAAGGTGAGTGCGTGGCAGCCAGGCTGTGGGGCAGAACCCGAGAGGCTGCAGGCCGAGGGCCCGAGGAAAAAGTGGGCCTCACAGTGGGGCTACCGTTCCTGGCAGAGAGAAAGGAGTTCTCTGGAGGTCAGAGAGAGACACAAAGAGAACAGAGCATGAGGTCAGTGAGGCCAGTGCACAGTTGCCTGGGGCCTCCCAGGGCAGGGGGACTGAGTGCCCAAGCCCTGCCCCCATGGGGGCAGCCTGCTCTCCACCCCTTCTCAGGATGCCAGTGTGGGTGTCCTCATGCTTCAGGCAGGGAGCCAGCCCTGGGCCTCCTTCCAGTGGCCTGGAGGTTCTGCTGCATTTCAGAGGGAGCCCTCAGGAGCAGAAGCAACACGCGGGGAGGATGAGCAGGGACCGAAGCTCCACCATGACAAATCTCAGCCTCAGCATCTGCTGGTCAGCCCCAGTCACCATGCTGGACAGAGGAGGCCCTTCAGGCCCCACAGGTCCCTGTGGGAGTTCTGCCTCTGACTCCGGTCCTGCAATCCTCAGAGGGAAGCTGGCCAGGGCTGGCGAAGCCCCTGCACAGGAACCTGGGCCCAGGTGGGGTACAGGCAGGGGGTGGCGGGAAGAGCTCTGCCTGCCCTGCTTCCTGGGCACTTCCCTGGACGCTGTAATGCCATAAGACAGGGACCAAAACTGTGCTTTTAAAAAATTTTTTTAATTAAAAAAAATTTTTTTTTGAGAGGAGTCTCACTCTGTCACCCAGGCTGGAGTGTAATGGCATAATCTCAGCTCACTGCAATCTCCGCCTCCTGGGTTCAAGCGATTCTCTTGCCTCAGCCTCCAGAGTAGCTGGGATTACAAGCATGCGCCACCACTCCCAGCTAATTTTTGTATTTTTAGTAGAGACAGGGTTTTACCATTTTGGCTACGCTGATCTCCAACTCTTGACCTCAAATGATTCGCCGGCCTCAGGCTTCCAAAATGCTGGGATTACAGGTGTGAGGCACCAATCCTGGCTCAAAACTGTCTTTTAAAAAAACTTTTCTTTTGTGGGGGCTGGGCGCGGTGGCTCACGCCTGTAATCCCAGCACTTTGGGAGGCCAAGGCGAGCGGATCACGAGGTCAAGATATCAAGATATCCTGGCCAACATGGTAAAACCCTGTCTCTGCTAAAAATACAAAAATATTAGCTGGGCGTGGTGGCGGGTGCCTGTAGTCCCAGCTACTGGGGAGGCGGAGGTTGCAGCGAGCCAAGATCGCACCACTGCACTCCAGCCTGGCGACAGAGCAAGACTCCGTCTCAACCTTCCCGCCTTGGCCTCCCAAAGTGCTGGGATTACAGGCGTAAGCCAACGCGCCTAGCCCAAAGTCGTCATTCCACAAAGTGGTCTTGATTCCTGACTTTGTGGAATGGAGGTATGAGTGAAGAGGCGGAGAAGCCCTTGCCCGCCTGGAGCACCCTGGACACGCGCTCTGTGTCCACCTGGCCTGGACGTGCCTCCTAAGGATAGCAGCGAGGCCAGGGAGCAGAGCCCACGGATGGGCCCTGTAGGGGCTCGGCTGAGACAGGCGTGATCATTCAGGGCTAAGCCTCCGCTGCGCCGCGCCTACCCCTCCCCGCTCCGCCCCCCTCCTTCCCCGGCCACTGGGGCAGGGATGACGGGCCCGGCTCTGACTTAGGGTCTCGGGCACGCTCGACGTGAGCAGAGACAAGGCCGCAGAGTCCTGGGGCTCGCTCGCCAACCTCTGCCAGGCACACATCGACTTGAGCATCTGGAAGACGGCCAGGGGGCCATGTTCAACTTCAGCAGGTCCACCAGGGTCCCGGCAGGGACAGACGCCGGGCCGGTGAGCCCTGTCCGCCCAGCGCGGACCCGGGCCCCTCCCTGAAGACCCGACAAGGGCGAGAGCCTCCTCCCGACCAGCGAGCCCGGACTGACAGGGAGAGCCCAGGTCGGGGCGTCGGGGGGCGCGCGGCCGCCGTCCGTCCAGCTCACTTGAACACCTCGGGGTCGATGGTGCCGCCCACCACCTGCTCTAGCTCTTACAGCTCCATCTCCTCAGCGCTCAGCGCCTTCTTCCGCTGCAGTGAGAGCTTCTGCCGGGCAACCTCCAGCCCCGGGGGCGCCGCGCGCCCCAGCCCAGGCACTGCGCCCTGCGCCGGCGCTCCCACCGTACCCCCTAGCAGTTGCGCCTGCAGCCCTCTCCCTGCAGCGCCAGTGCCCGGCCTCCCAGGCGGCAGTGGCTGACCGCAGGGGCCCGCTCCTTGGTGGTCAGGGCCTAGGGAGGCCCTGGCCGAGCATTGGTCATACTTGCTTAGGTGGCAGCACCCAACCCAGTGCCAGGCATTCATTGAACGCTCAGTAAAATTTGCCTGTTGCAAGAAAGCGTACAATTGTCTTATCCGCGCCGGTGTCCCACTAGGGGGCGCTCCAAGGCGGCACTAAGCGCCCTGCTTAGGCGCACGCTCACTCCTTGCTGGAGAGAAGGTGCTTGCACGTAACGGTAAGGGAAGAGGACGCCACTGCGCAGGCGCATTCAGTGGCTGCCCACCCTCCCCGCCGCCCTCCTCCCTCGCCACCTCCCCTCCGCCACCTGGCCGGCCTTCGCTTTGCACACGCGCCTTTCGATGTAGCCTCCTAAAGAGGCAGAGGCGCTTTTCCCGCGTGACGCCCGGCGCAGCTTGATGATGACATTTCGGCACCAGGTGGCCGAATAGCGGCTTCCAGCTCCGAGGCGGGCAACACACTGTGGGTCCCACAGGTGTGCGGCGGAGGACGCGCGTGAGAGGGTTCTGCGCCCCGGCGGCTTCCCCGAGCCCCTGCCGTGGCCGTCTCCGTTCCTCCGCGGGTCCTGGGACTCCGGCCGTCCCCGGCCACTCTGCCCCGACTGGGCGGGCTTGGGAGGCGAGGGCCGCAGTTGAGTCCTCATGACGGCGCCCTTTGGCCACGCCTTTGTGCCACTTTCCCGCGGGGCTCCTACACTGTTTCGGTAGGTGCTCCTTCAAGGTTAACATTCGCTGAAAGAATTGAGGGGAGGAGAGCTTCGTGTTGACGTTGAGCCTTCGGCTCAACAGGTACTGTGGGAGGATGAGCGGGTGTGGGTCCCAGCTCGACCCTTCACACTGGATGCTTGACTTCTCCAAGCCTTGGTTTCCTCATCTGTGATAGGAAGGTTCCGATTCCCAATTGACAGGACAATTGGGCTGCTGCTGCTGCTCAGGGGAGGTCTTGGCAGTGGCAGGATTTACTTGGAATGATTGGCGTTGCCTGAGGGCTGTCGCTCTCGGAGGAAACTCCAAAACGGGTTTTAAACGGGTTCCGAAGCAGCTCCTGAAGAAAGTGTGTGTTGAAGAGGCGAGATGAAGCGGACGCTTGGTGCATGACAGAGGGGTGTGATGCGGGAGCGTGGCCATGGCAGGGTCAGAGAATGGCTGTAGGAAACACCGACCTCTCTTGGAAACTCCCGGGTCGGAATTTCCTCTCGGAAATTTCCCGGAAATTCCTCTGGGCCTCAGTCTTTCAGTCGCTGCCTATGAAAGCTTCCTCTGAGCAGAGATGCTCTCACTTCAGAGCAGAGAAAGCTCTGCACTTAAAACAGTCTCCAATGTTGTGCTGCTTTTATCATTCTGTAGTGCACAGTGTTTTCTTGACAGAATGCGTCAGGAGTGAAGTGTTTTAGGTTTTCCTTAACTCTGAACTTGATAAGTAGCTTAAAACCTGAGAGGTGTTCTTATTGCCAAGTGGCAGAGATTCCTGTCTCCTCTCACCCCTCCCAAATGTCTATGCAGCCTCCTTACACCCAGCCTCTCTTCCTCCACATAGATTGCCAGGTGCCACCCCTGTGCCTTTACTTGTGCAGCGGGCAGAGCTGGGCCATGAAAGCTGTCACTAGCCCACCAGTGGGACTTGGGAGACTTCCTCTCTGCGCAGTCTAGGTCTCAGCATTTTTCACTTCTGACCTGGGTGGGCGGAGAGGTAGGAATCTGGAGAGCTGATCCTAGTTTTCTGATGGTTCATTCATTCAAAGGCTCCCTTGGTGGAGCTTGCACTTCCCCTGCATTCATTATGTAGAGGACAGATTTTACATAGAGTACATCTGGCTTTACTTTTAAGAGGCTTTCTCTTTCTTCTCACTAAACAACATAACCCAATAGTATGGAGGGGATTTGCCCTCATCTCAGATCTGTGAGGCTGTCTTTGTATTTGAATCTTGGTTCTGCCATGTACTAGCTGGGTGGGGCTAAGTGACTTATTCCCTTTCTGCCTCTCCGTCGTCTGTACTGACCTGCACTTTGTTACATCTGTATTTGAAGATGGTTTTTCTATTCTTGTTTGACAAATTTAGCAGCTTAAACCAGTACCCATTATCTCATAGTTATGTAGTCTGAAGTCCAGGCAGGCCTGGCTGCGCATCACAAGGCTGGAATCAAGGTGTTGGCAGCTTTGCTCTTACCTAGAAGCTCTAGGGAAGGAAGAAGCTGCTTCCAGGCTTATTTAGGTTGCTGGCAGAATCCAGTTGCTTGGAGTTGTAGAACTAAGGTCTCTGTTTCCTTGCTGGCTGGGGACGGCTCTGTAACTTAAGGTCCACTAACTTAGGACTCTAATTGTATCTGCAGAATGCCTTTACAGCAGTACCCAGATGAGTGTTTGACTGAAGAACCAGGGGACAGGAATCTTGGGCGGCTGTCTTTAGAATTCTGCCTACCACTGAGGATGAAATGAGGAAATATATGGAGAGTCCTTAGAGCTCTCCTGCTCCTTAGAGCAGAGTATGTCCTGGCATACAGCAAGTGCTGTACAAGCATTACCAAGGATTCACCACCACAAACTTGGCTCTGAAGCTGCTCACTGTGGGCTACATGAGAATGGTGTTTCTATAAAACATGGGAACTGCTAGTCAGGCACAGTGACTCATGCCTGCAATCCTAGCACTTTGGGAGGCTGAGGCGGGAGGATTGCTTGAGCCTAGGAGTTTGAGACCAGCCTAGGGAACACAGCAACACCTCATCTCTACACACACACACACACACACACACAAAATTAGCTGGGCATGGTGGCATGCACTTATAGTCCCAGCTACTAAGGAGGCTGAGGTGGGAGGATCACTTCAGCCCAGGTTGAGGCTGCAGTGAGCCATGATCATGCGGTTGCATTGCAGCTACTTGGGAGGCTGAGGCAGGAAGATCACGTGAGCCCAGGAGTTTGAGGTTGCAGTGAGCTGAGATCATGCCACTGCATTCTAGACTGGGTAACAGAGCAAGACTCTGTCTCTAAAAAAATAAAAAATAAAAAATACATGGGAATTGGCAGTGTAGTGTGTGTGTTGAGTTACACAAATGTTTTCCTGGGCATTGTGAAACTATGTAATATTCTGTTAGGGATAAGTACAGTGGCTTATACCAGTACTCCCAGCACTTTGGGAGGCTGAGGTGGGAGGATTGCCTGAGGCCAGAATTCTAAACCAGACTGGGCAACAAGTGAGACCCCATCTCTACAAAAACAAGAAAATTTGCCGGGTGTGTTGGTTTACACTTGTAGTCCTTGCTGCTCAGGAGGCTGAGGTGGGAGGATCGCTTGAGCCCAGGAGTCTGAGGTTACAGTGAGCTATGATTGTGCCGCCGCACTCTAGCCTGGGTGACAGAGTGAGACCTTGTCTCTGAAAAATAAAATGATTCTGTTGTGTTGTAGATGTCGAGATTTCGTCTTTGTTTTTCACAGTGGCCACTTTTGCCTCTCCACTGGAGGCTGCTACAGCATTTCCTCACCTGCAGCAGCCCAGCCCTCTACTGGTAAATATCAGCTGCCCGTGTGAGTGTCAGTGTGACCATAGTTCTATAGCTGAGGGACTTGACTGTTGTTTCTACTGACTTGAAGCTCTCCAGCGGTGGTTTTTTAGGGGCATGTGATGGAAATAACAACAGACTCAGGGTTAGACTCCTTCAGCTTGACTTTGCCTCCTTATTACTGAAGGACCTTGGATTTACTCAACCTCAAGCTCTGGTTTTCTCATACAAGACTAGTTCATTCAAATGTTATTTTCCTTCCTTCCCAAGGGTATGAGGAGAAAGCGAGAAGGATGTAGCTCAGAATGTTCATGACCTGTAAATCCTTCTGCATACATGAAGCTGTTCTAGTAATCATAACTATCATCAGTGAAAAATGGAGAGGCACTGCTGTGCTGGGGGCAGCTAGGTTTGCACTTTAAGTATTAAACATGATGCTGAGAACTGGGTGCAATGACTTGTGCCTGTAGTTCCAGCTACTCGGGGGACTGAGGTAAGGAGGGTCACTTGAGCCCAGGAGTTTGAGACTAGTCTGAGCAACATAGTGAGACCCTGTCTGTACAAAAAATAAAAAAAAGTTAGTCAGGCATGATGGCACATGCCTATAGTCCAAGCTACTTAGGCGGCTGAGACAGGAAGATCACTTGAGCCCTGGAGGTTGAGGTTGCAGTGAGCCATGATGGAGCCACTGCACTTCAGCCTGGACCACAGAGCAATATGCTGACTCAAAACAAAACAATTTTCTCTCTCACTCTTTCATTTTCCCTTAGTCATCCCTGCCCTGATGTGCCTCTTCCTCTCTCCTAACTGCACTGTGGAAAGCACAGCCATGGTTGCAGAGCTGTGTTTGGTCTGGACCCTGCTCATCTCCCAGGTCCCCACACCTGGCACAGTTCATGCTACAGGTAGACAGGCAATCACAGTATGCAGTGAATGCAATCTGGCTTTACTTTTTTTTTTTTTTGAGACAGAGTCTCACTCTGTCACCCAGGTTGGAGTGCAGTGGCACAATCTCGGCTCACTGCAATGCCCACCTCCCAGGTTCAACCGATCCTCCTGCCTCAGCCTCCCGAGTAGCTGGGATTACAGGCATGCACCGCTACACCCGGCTAATTTTTGTATTTTTTAAAGTAGAGACGGAGTTTCACTGTGTTGGCCAGGCTAGTCTTGAACTCCTGACTTCAAGTGATCCGCCTGACTCGGCCTCCCAGAGTGCTGGGATTACAGGCGTGAGTCACTGTGCCCAGCCTTGGCTTTACTTTTAAAAGGCTTTCTCTTTTCACTAAACAACTTTACATCATCAAATAACCCATTTATCAATTAGAGGGTTTTTTTTTAGAGGTTTTTTTTTTTTTTTTTTTTTTTTTTTTTTTTTTGAGATAGAGTCTTCCTCTGTCACCCAGGCTGGAGTGCAGTGGTGCCATCTCGGCTCACTGCAAGCTCCGCCTCCCAGGTTAACGTCATTCTCCTGCCTCAGCTTCCTGAGTAGCTGGAACTACACGCGGCCGCCACCACGCCCAGCTAATTTTTAAAAAATTTTTTTTAATTTTTTTTGAGACGGAGTCTCGCTCTGTTGCCCAGGCTGGAGTGCAGTGGCTGGATCTCAGCTCACTGCAAGCTCCACCTCCCAGGTTCATGCCATTCTCCTGCCTCAGCCTCCTGAGTAGCTGGGACTACAGGCGCCCGCCACCTCGCCCGGCTAGTTTTTTGTATTTTTTAGTAGAGACGGGGTTTCACCGTATTAGCCAGGATGGTCTCGATCTCCTGACCTGGTGATCTGCCTGTCTCGGCCTCCCAAAGTGCTGGGATTACAGGCTTGAGCCACCACGCCCGGCCTAATTTTTTTGTATTTTTAGTAGAGACTGGGTTTCACCGTGTTAGCCAGGATGGTCTCGATTTCCTGACCTTGTGATCCACCCACCTCGGCCTCCCAAAGGTTTTTTTTTTGAGAAGGAGTCTCGCTCTGTTGCCAGGCTGGAATGCAGTGGCGCGATCTCGGCTCACTGCAACCTCCACCTCCCAGCTTCAAGCCATTCTCCTGCCTCGGCCTCCCAAGTAGCTGGGACTACAGGCATGAATCACCACGCCCAGCTTATTTTTGTATTTTTAGTACAGATGGCGTTTCACCATGTTGGCCAGGATGGTCTTGATCTCCTGACCTTGTGATCCGCCTACCTCGGCCTCCCAAAGTGTTGGGATTACAGGTGTAAGCCACCATGCCGGGCCTACTTAGAGGTTTTAAATTTTATGCAGAAATCAATTTTTTCCTATTGCACCTTTAAATAAAAACTTCCTTGTTGGTGGCAAAGAGTTGTTGCCTGGGTATGAGGGGAGGGTCTGGACAGAGTCTGAAAAGATACAAGAGGGAACTTTCTAGGGGGCAGAAATACTCTATATTGACTGTGGTGCTGGTTACACAGGTGTAGACATTTGTTAAAACTCAAACTGTAAACTTAGATCTATGCATTTTACATGTATTAAAAAAAAAATTTAAACAGCTCTCTGTTCCATCGCAGCCCATAGTAAATTGAACTTGGCTGATGAGGGCTCGATCCAGGGTCTGTACTGAGATACATCTAGAGCCCCAGTCACCCTGGGACAGGCCTTGGAGGAGCTGCTCTCCCTTCCCTTCCCCCATCCCTCTAATGAGAGTCACTCACAGGGATGGTGCTAAAAGAGGTGGGGCTGTCTGCTTAAAGTACTGATTTGCTTTCTTTCATCTCTGCACCCTGGAAAACATACATCCTGCACAGAAAATGCCATCTCACACTTTGTAGCACATTGTAGTCATGTCCAGTAGGTTCGCCCTAGGCAGAGCACACCCGCTGCTGTGATGAGATACAGGGCGTTTTATTGTTTAATTTTTCCTCAGTAACCAACATGCTCAATTTCTCAGCCAAGGAAAGCTTAGATCAAACCTCCGCATAGGTGCTAATATACTTACAGTTTAAGATGCAAAGCTCATGTACAAACCTGCACACCATGCACAGGTATCCCAGAACTTAAAATAAAAGTCAAAGAAAAAAAAATAGATTTTATAAAAAGACAATTTGTGTCAAAATTCAAATATGAATCAGCCATATGTCTATTGCCAATAATATTGTCTATGTGTGTATTTGCCTGTATAAATAATACTCTTGTGTTTAAAAAAAAAAAAAAAAAAAAGGAAGCAACAAAGCTCTTCTGGTGAGTCACTGTCAAACCACCTAGGTGGTCCTAGGGCCGCTGAAGGAGCCTGACCTCTCCCTTGGTCTTGTCAGTACTGCCCTATGAGGCCAAGGCAAGTCTGTGGAGAGGGCGCTGGAAATGGAGGCTTGTAAGTAAAGGCTGCACCGTGCCATGGGCCTCTCCAGCTGCACTCGATATGGCCTGCCCTCCTTCCTAATGCAAAGCCAGTCACACTCAACCACACAGGTGTCAATGGTGAGCAAGCTACAAATCTTAAGCACAGCAGTTATTTAACCCTCCTTGCATTTTTTTTAGAAAAGCCCAGAAGATGCCAAAATTCAGTTAACATACAGATTTTTAAAAACTACATCTGTAAGAAACTTTTTGTCCCCACGATATTCAGGGTAATCACCAGTCACGAGCTTTTGGTATTTTTTCCCTTTCTTTATTCTGTCTTTCAGATTTTCTCTATCAAGAGGTCTCCAGCCTGGGGCAGTGGCACGTGCCTGTAGTCTCAGCTCCTCAGGAGTCCGAGGCAGGACGATCCCTTCAGTCAAAGAGTTCAAGGCCAGCCTGGGCAACATGGTGAGACCCTTTCTCAAAAAATAAAAAAAAGAAAGATAAGAAAAAAGACTTTCCAAATGATACTAATTACCTCATCCCAAAATCAACGTATAGGTCCATAAAAAGGTGAAATGGGAGCTGTTAGTGTTTGACAATTTAGGCAAAGTTAATATGAAGTTCCTCTTACCTCACAAAAATTACCTCTTCTATTTGATTATTTCTAAGTAATCTTGATGAAGCTGCATTTCTTTCACCATACCTTTAAAGGGTTTAGCTATAAATAAAAAAGTAAAATTAGGCTGGGCGTGGTGGCTCACACCTGTAATCCCAGCACTTTGGGAGGCTGAGGTGGGTGGATCACCTGAGGCCAGGAGTTCAAGACCAGCCTGACCAATATGGTGAAACCCCGTCTCTACTAAAAATACAAAAATTAGCCGGATGTGGTGGCGTGTTCCCAGCCACTCAGGAGGCTGAGACAGGAGAACTGCTTGAACCCGGGAGGTGGAGGTTGCAGTGAGCCGAGATCATGCCACTGCACTCCACCCTGGGCAACAGAGTGAGATTCTGTCTTTAAAAAAAAAAAAAAAGTAAAATCAACAATTTAGTCTAATCAGTCTTATCAACTATACAAAAATTTGGGGTATTGTACTTACTAAGTGATACTTTTTTAAAAAGTTTACTTTTAAAAATAATATCTGTAGGCCGGGCGCGGTGGCTCAAGCCTGTAATCCCAGCACTTTGGGAGGCCGAGACGGGCGGATCACGAGGTCAGGAGATTGAGACCATCCTGGCTAACACGGTGAAACCCCGTCTCTACTAAAAAAATACAAAAAAAAAAATTAGCCGGGCATGGTGGCGGGCACCTGTAGTCCCAGCTACTCGGGAGGCTGAGGCAGGAGAATGGCGTGAACCGGGGAGGCGGAGCTTGCAGTGAGCCCAGATCACGTCACTGCACTCCAGCCTGGGCGACAGAGCGAGACTCCGTCTCCAAAAAAAAAAAAAAAAAAAAAAAATCTGTAAAGTTTTGGGAAGTGATTGATACGGATGTTTATAATGAACAAATATGGTCATGCACCAGATAACATTGTCTCAGCCATTGATGGACAACATATACAATAGTGGTCTCATAAGATTATAATGCTGTATTTTTACTGTACCTTTTCTATGTTTAGATAAACATATACTTACCAGTGTGCTACAACTGCCTACAGTATTCAGCACAGTCACATGCTGTGCAGATTTGTGGTCTAGGAGCAAGAGTCTGTACCATAGAGCCTAGGTGTGCAGTAGGCTTTGCCATCTGGGTTTCTGAAGTACACTCTGTAATGTTTGGACAATGACAAAAATCACGTAACAATGCTTTTCCCAGCAGGTGTCCCCATCGTGAAGCAACATGTAACAGTATACACTTCAATATGTTTTACAGCAAATACCATCACTACAGACATCTGGTCAAAGCCAAGGTTCACCTATTGAGAGCAACTGATGGGCACGCTCCAGTGTGCTGTTTAGCGCCAGCTGTAGCCCATGTGCAGGATACGTGTGCATGAGATGGGTGAGTCCTGAGCTCCACCTGTCCACGCAGCAGGAGCCACGGGGCAGCTGGGGGGACACAAGACATTCTCCAAGACAATGCTGGTCTTAAAAGTACCAGAGGTTGGCTGGGTGCAGTGGCTCATGCTTGTAATCCCAGCACTTTGAGAGGCCAAGGCGAGTGGATCACTTGAGGCCAGGAGTTTTGAGACCAGCCTGGCCAACATGGTGAGACCCCATCTCTACCAAAAATACAAAAAATTAGCTGGGCGTGGTGGCACGCACCTGTAGTCCCAGCTACTTGAGAGGCTGAGGCAGGAGAATTGCTTGAACCTGGGAGGCAGAGGTTACAGTGAGCCGAAATCACACCATTGCACTCCAATCCAGCCTGGGCAACAAGAGCGAAACTCCATGTCAAAAAAAGTGCCGGAGGTCTCCCTGGACTCTCACAGCAGTCCTGGATAAGCCCTGTGGCATTTGTGACAATAATGTCCTCTGATCAGGCAGTTTACACTGCTCTTCCTGTCCACATTGACTCTTTTGAGAGTAATTCTGTTATTTACATTTTACAGATGAGAGAACTGAGCCAGGTTGCTGTGGACAGTGTACCAGGTTGAATACTGTCCCCAACAAAATTCATGTCCACTTGGAATCTGTGACTGACCTTATTTGGAAATAGGGTCTTTACAGGTGTAAGCAAGTTAAGGGCACAGGCTAGAATAGGGTGGCCCTAACTCCAAGACTGGTGTCCTTCTAAAAAGAGAGAACTTAGGCACAGAGACAGAGACAGGGGAATAAACAGCCATGTGGAGATGGAGGCAGAGACTGGAGTAATGCAGCCAACACCAAGGAGCACCAAGCATCGCTAGCAGCCCCAGAAGCTGAGAGGCATGGAAGGATCCCCTGAGCCTGTGAGGGGGGTGGCCCAGCTGATGCCCTGACTTTGGACTTCTGACTTCCAGAGCTGTGAGAGAAAAATCTGTTGTTTAAGCCCCCCAGTTTGTGGCAGTTGGTTACAGCAGCCCTGGGAAGCTCCTAGAGATGGGTTAGGTCATCTCTTCCCAGAAAGACAGAGCGCGAGGCAGGGTCAGGACTCGAACCCAGCCATCCAATTCCAGAAGCAGCACTTTCTTGACCACCGTGCACCCTGCCACAGTCTGGCATCCATGTGGTCGGTTACTTCTCCTACACCTGTCCATATTTTCACCTTTAAGGCAAAATCCACCTGTTTTGGAAAATGTTTTGGAGTTGTGAATTGTTTCTCCTCCTTTTCTTCTAGAGTTACACAAATCCAAGTGCCTTTGTTGTGGTGTGGAGAAAAGTATCACAATTTTTTTTTTTTTTTTTTTTTTTTTTTTTTTTTTTTTTTTTGGTGTGGAGTACAAGTATCACAATTTTATGTTTATCTTACCTTCCCAACTCTCTCTGGGGGTACTTTGCAAATAATTGAGTCCAAACAGAAGTACCAAATGACCTATGAACTCTATGCTTAGTAAATATATTAAACCTGAATAACTTAAAAATTAATGTGCATTTTTTACAGAAAATTTGATTTTAACTTAGAATTGTGTCTTTTAGTGTAATTTTCATAGGGACTTCTAATTTTTCTAATGAATGTTGGCTATACTTTTTTTTAATGGAATGAATTTCAAGTCATAATAATCAGAAAAGTTTTAGTTTTACTTTTACAGTATGGACTGAACTCAGATAATTAAACACTATTTTGAATCTTAACAAGAGGCATTTTTGTGTTAAGATGGTATCAGTCTGTATACAGTGAATTGAAGAAGCTTCAGTCTTATCAGAGTTTTGCACATTTTAGCTCAATAAAGTCTGAATTAACTGTTCCAGATTTTATCTGTGTTTGGAAATATAATTTTGTAAAATCAATGTCTTACCTTTTTGATACAATAGATCATGTCACGTTTCAATAAAACAAGAACCACTTTTATCTTTTGTTTTTCAGGGAAGGGATGAACATTTAATTGTTTACATTTTGTTATCACTGTTATGCAATGCTCATTTTATGTTGCTTTATAAGTAAGTTTACATATACCAGAATAAATATCTGCTCATGTAATCTACCTGTGACTGTTTTACTATCCCCTCCAGTCACTTCAGAGTATGCTGAAATTGACCGGGCATGGTGGCTCATGCCTGTAATCCCAGCACTTTGGGAGGCTGAGATGGGCGGATCACAAGGTCAGGAGTTCGAGACCAGCCCAACCAACACGATGAAACCCTGTCTTTACTGAAAATACAAAAATTAGCCAGGCATGGTGGCATGCGCCTGTAATCCCAGTTACTCAAGAGGCTGAGGCAGGACAATCGCTTGAACCCAGGAGGTGGAGGTTGCAGTGAGCCACGATCGTGCCATTGCACTCTAGCCTGGGCGATAGAGCGAGACTCCGTCTCAAAAAAAAAAAAAAAAAAAAGGTTATGCTGAAATTTACCACTATTGGGATGAATGATCACTATTCACCAAGCGTATCTGAACATGCAAATGTTTAAGAAATAAGCATAATAAGGAGATAGTTTGGGTTAATAGGATTCTCATAGTTTTTTTTTCCCCTATGAAACATAAGTAATGATTTTAGTGTATTTATTATGGAATATACTCATTTTAAAAGGACTTTAAGAGTTGTGCTTTGGGAGACAGAGGCGGGTGGATCACAAGGTCAGGAGTTCAAGACTAGCCTGGCCAAGATGGTGAAACCCCATCTCTACTAAAAATACAAAAATTAGCCGGGCGCAGTGGCGGGTACCTGTAATTCCAGCTGCTCTGGAGGCTGAGGCAGGAGAATCAGTTGAACCCGGGAGGCAGAGGTTGCAGTGAACTGAGATCACGCCACTGCAGTCTAGCCTAGCTGACAGAGCAAGCCTCCGTCTCAAAAAATAAAAAAAAAGTTGTGGATGTGAATACTGCATTCCTCTAATAAAAATTTAAATTGTATAATAGTTTAATAAAGTATTTACTTTTTTTTTTTTTTTTTTTTAAAGTCAGAGTCCCGCTCTTGTCACCTAGGCTGGATTTCAATGGCACGCGATCTCCGCTTACTGCAACCTCTGCCTCCTGGGTTCAAGCAGTCTTCCCACCTCATACTCCCAACTTGCTGGGCCCACAGGCACGTGGGTTACCACGCTGGGATAATTTTTGTAATTTTTTTGTAGAGATAGGGTTTCACCATTGTTGCCCAGGCTCTGTGCTCAAGCAATTGGCCTGCGTCAGCCTCCCAAAGTGCTGGGATTACAGGCACGAGCCATTGCGCCTGGCCTCAGTTATCCTTTCTATTACATCCTATGATGTTTTCATAGCCTACAAGACATCAATTTCTTCTTAATAATTGTCAATCTGGCCAGGCACAGTGGCTCATGCCTGTAATCCCAGCACTTTGGGAAGCCAGGGCAGGCAGATCACCTGAGGTCAGGGGTTCAAGACCAACCTGGCCAATGTGGCAAAACCCCCTCTCTACTAAAAATTAGCCAGGTGTGGTGGTGTGTGCTTGTAATCCCAGCTACTCGGGAGACTGAGGCAGGAGAATCACTTAAACCCAGAAGTCAGAGGTTGCAGTGAGCCAAGATTGTGCCACTGCACTCCAGCCTGGGCAACAGAGTGAGACTCTGTCTCAAAATAATAATGATGATAATAATAATAATCTGGTTAAAGAGGTAACAATGATCTATTAATGCTTTGGGAAAACAAGTTGGGTTGCCTTTGAAGGCCAGGGTTCTTAGTTCATTCAAAAATACGTATTTAATTTACAGCATGTGCCAAGCATTTTTAGCTTCCCAGTATACAGCTGTGAACCAAACAGATAAGGCCCTAACCATTTTCAGCATTCTGTCTAGTTGGGGTGGGATGGGGGCTTAATTAAGATAGAGATATAGAAAAATGTGCATCTAAATAACGTAAGTATGGAGTTGAGAGGAAGCAACTAAGAATATGTTAGAGATCTTAGAAGTAATATTTTGCAGTCTTGTAACCTATATTTGACTTTTAAGTTTGGGTAATATTAATAGTTGCAGATAGTGTAAAAAAGTCTTAATTTTTCACTTTCCTTGCTGGTAAAGGTAAGTTTATTTAGACTGTCCATTTATTTATTTATTTATTTATTTATTTATTTATTTTTGAGACAGAGTCTCACTCTGTTGCCCAGGCTGGAGTGCAGTGGTGCAATCTCAGCTCACTGCAAGCTCTGCCTCCTGGGTTCACGCCATTCTCCTGCCTTAGCGTCCTGAGTAGCTGGGTCCACAGGCGCCCGCCACCATGACTGGCTGATTTTTATTTTTATTTTTAGTAGAGATGGGGTTTCACTGTATTAGCCAGGATGGTCTCAATCTCCTGACCTCATGATCTGCCCGCTTCAGCCTCCCAAAGTGCTGGGATTACAGGCGTGAGCCACCGCGCCGCCCTAGACTGTGCATTTAAAGTAGTGTTTAACATGGCTGGGTGTGGTGGCTTCCACCTGTAATCCCAGGACTTTGGGAGGCTGAGGCGGGCAGATCACTTGAGGTCAGGAGTTCGAGACCAGCCTGGCCAACATGGTGAAACTCAGTCTCTGCCAGAAATACAAAAGTTAGCTGGGTGTGGTGGCAGGCGCCTGTAGTCCCAGCTACTCAGGAGGCTGAGGTAGGAGAGTCACTTGAACTCAGGAGGCAGAGGCTGCAGTGAGCTGAGATCATGCCACTGCACTCCAGCCTGGGTAACAGAGTGAGACTCTGTCTCAAATAAATAATAAATAAATACATACAGAAATAAAAATAAAAGTAGTGTTTAACATAACAATCCTGTGAAAGTGATTCTATTACATATTCACAAGCAAATTAGCTGCACACTCTTTCCTGTATTTTACAATTTAGCACAATTTTAGGCCTCAATCTTCTTTTCAAATCACTGGTGTTTTAAATTTGGCAATGAATAGGAAGTTACTTTTGACTTAGGAAGTGATTATATTATTACTTTAAAAACGTGTTAATATTTTAGGACAGTTTGGATCCTCTATCTTTTTTTGAGTTAATATTTCAATATTCATTACTTATTCCAACAGCTTCTAAGTGGAAATAGTATTTAGGCAATTAAATTGGCATATATTTTCAGGAATTTTCTTTCATTTTTAAGTTTTGTCATCATTGAGGTTAATTTTTTTTGCCTGGTGTTCACTTATGATAGATATAAACAGTCTGTGAAGTGAAATAGTCTTAAG